GCATAAAATAAGGAGGGTAGGATCGTCCGACGATTTTAGCGCCTCGTCCGCTCAGCGTTTGTGTGACGTCACTGGAGCCCGCATTGCGTAATTTTTCGAACAGAATAACTGCTCGGCTGTTTGGTTCCAGTCATCTCTGCTATGGCATGCAAACTTTGGAGTGTATAGCCATTCCTTTGTTCATAGATGCCTACAATGTTGACAGATGTTATCTTATCCAAAATTGACCTTGGTGTGGTTTTGGAAGAACTTGACCCAGACTGCAACTGAATCATCTACAATAAGCTGGGTGCACTAGCGATGGTGCAGATACAGCAAGTCAGGCTCACCGTTCACGCCTTTGTCGTCGCCAGTTTCTGTGTCATCCATCCGCACTTGCTAACGGCCCTCGAGCCAGGCCAGCTTGGAGGTCAAACATTTAATCTGGACATACCCGCTGAGCCCGGGCGGACAGCTTGTGATGCATGGGTTGTTGCGAGCCGCGGGGGTTGGCGTGATGTTTCAAGCAGGCCTTGTGCGCAAAGCCCGGAAACGACTCCCGCTGTGGCATCCGCAGCCTCCATACAGAGCCTGGCCCACGCGCTCAAAGGTGCCCCAGTCGCCTCAGCACGCTATCTTTGTAACGCGCAGTTAAGCCCACGCGTCCCAAGGTGGCCACTGTCTGCCGAGGCCGCGCCAGGCGTCACACAGTCTGGGACACGCGTCCCGCTGTGACCACAGCAGGCGCTCCATACATATCCCAGGCCACGCACCCTAAGGCGGCCGCTGCGACCTCTGCAGACTCCATACACAGTTCACCTCATTCGTTCCAAGGTGGTGCGGGTCAAACACGCAGTCATGTCCGCGCGTCTCAAAAAGACCGTTACCAACCCGACAAAGTCCACACACTGCGCGATAAAGCGGCCGGTAACCTGTCCCTCCGCTCTAAGTCTGGAACAAGGACAACAGAAGGCGCCGCGTCTCGGTCCCCCTCAGTCCCAGACTCCCAGCGCGGGCACCCCAGCGGACCCGGCTAGAGGTGTCCAGTTCTCAAGCCAGGCACCCCAGGGGGTGACACAGGCGCCGGGCCCAGCACAACTACATGCTACATGCAAGCCAACTCACGCCTCGCTATCAGGTACCCACGCCTGCGCACTCCTGCCGCAAGAAAACTGTACGTGGACTCTGGCATTTCCAATGCATCACAACATCAAAACAAACATCAGGTGAGCGCAGAGATAGTTGCAGCAGTTTATCCAGCATTACATCGTGACCTCACCATTATCACCGTGTGTGACGTGATACTAGTTGCGCCACGCCACCATGTAGATCGCGTTGATGGCATGGCGCGACCTACAGTCGCGCACGAACTGACCTACAGTCATCAGACGACGTACAGTCGTAAGATGCTGGTCCATCAACAACGGTCCAACCCAGTGTAACAAGCAAGCCGCACCAGCGGCGGACGGCAGCGACAGCGACGAACCTACATGCCCCAGTAAGCAGTTTGGGCGGAGTCGCCACATCCTTCCACGCCAAGGATGCAGCATTCGGAGGTGGGAGTGGACAGCGGAGCCCATCCGCTCCGACCGAACCCATCCGCATCCGCACCCGAGACCGCTCCATCGAGCTCTCCGCCGCAGGGCAACTTCCGCGACCGTCGGCGCTCAAAGTCACGCCGCTGAGGCGCCGAACATCGCCGGCATCGTAGCAGCCCCACCACTAGCAAGTGAACCGCCGCCAGCGAGCCAGACCAAGCCAGGAGGAAGCCAGTCCAAGTTAGCGAGGCCAGGCACCGCCGCCATGAAGCACATATGCTAGTCATACCAGTAATGCCATGACATACCTCACTTGCAGGCCATTAGAAACGCTGACAGAAATACTGCATTCTTGTTCAGCGCTTAAATCGAGCTCTGCAGCACTTAAGCACTGCGCCGAATGCAATATTTCCGCGCGACGGAGCTGGCGGCGCGGCGGCGGCGGGGCCCAGTGACGTCATCGGTCTGAACTGAACCGCTCGGCATCTCACCAATGGGAAATCCCGTGATGGCACCCTGATGATCCCCCTGAATGAGCGATAACTTCTTTATTTCCAGGTGATTTTAAAGAAGTGCATGGGTCTATACCCAGGCGGCTCGCAGCCCCACATGCGTACGTGAGAGGTGCAGATGTTTCCCTCCATTCGAGCAGCTGCGGTGTTCGCCCTTCCTGACCGGCAGAGCCAGGCGACGCCACATAGCCGCGGGATATTGGTGGGTCGCAAAGCCCCAATCACAAACAACAAACAACGTACAACAAACAACAAATAACGGACCAGCTAACAGGCCGCGTGATGGACCTCCCCCTCCCCCCCCCTGCCAAGCCGCCGAGGCCCGCCCCGATCAGCCGGTCACCGACGAGCAGTTTCATTGGAATTAATTAATGCTATGTTACATTGCTTTAGTCGTTCCATGGAATCGGTCTGTGCCGATGATGTAACTTTGCAAAAGCCCAGCCGTCTTGCTGCGGTCAGCTCCACCAATTCCATTACCTTCGAGATACATTTCGATATGGTCCTTGTAGGATAGAGTGCCAGAGTTGCACATGGTCGCGGCGGCGCGTCTATGGGACACTTTTTCATAAGAACTACCAACGTAAGATGGCTGCCGTGCAGCGGGAGCCGGCTGGAGCACAGGCAGCACCCAGCTCCGCAGCGTAACATTTGGAACCAGAGAGGCATCTGAGTGCGTTCTCTTGATTCTCCCGATTCTCCATGGACATTCTCGTGATCTCGCACTGTGTGATTTGCGCCCAAAATGATCGTTAGCTGCTATCCACATGCATCGTGAAAGCTTACCAGTATCAGATTTTTTCATATGCATGGATAACAAAGAGACCGACTTGGACGTTTCGTGCCAGTGTGTAAAAGACGCTAAAATGACTGACAGACAAGGGAATATCGGCTAAACATATGTGGAAATTTCACAAGCGCCCATTCATAAAGATACATCAGAAATTAATTCCTTTTGGCACGCGGATATGACAACGTGACATAGGCACCACACCTTTGCGTTGTCCCCGTCGTCATGGCAACATCAGTCATCCGACCGTGCGTCAGAAACTAATCAATGTTTTCTCCAACCGTCGACTGCGCGGTTGGACTGGAGTGAAAACTCGCACTGTCAAGCCTGTTAACTGTTTCGACTCGTCTTGCGATGCTCTAAAATGCTGTCTCACTTTCCAGACGGCTTCGGAACACTTAATCGCCCCTTACCTCGGCTGTGCAACTTCTGTCCTGTTTCGCGGAGGATTTATAATTTTTCTAATAAATGATTTTGATAATTATTGCATACTTATGATAATTATTATTGGTCCACGATGATTATCTTGTTTGACGAACCGCACCCAAGCTGTCAACGAGCCAGATTCAGATTTTAGCTTTGTGACAAATGTTTCAAATCGTATCTCAACCATGCGTGACTTATGTCACGTTTTTGTCTACATGATAACTGTCAAGTTGGTCTAAATTAGCCGTAATGAGGTGCTTTAGTAGAAACCAATACAATAGCACAATACGATAGATATTATAAGAAATAAAAAAGCTGCGATTCAACACAACCTCTCATCGAAGCTAACGGCGCCATCTGACAAAGATGTTCTTTTATTCCTTATTTAATATCTATCTAAAAAATATATTTAGCTTGATTCTTATTTTTAGAAACGGCCGCCGGATCTCTTCTTGACAAGCCATCAGGTTGCAACAGGTATGAAAGCTGCGCCGGATCAGGACAATCATATATAATGTTCTTGAGTCATAACAGCAGCCGATCAACCTATACATCTCGTAAGAAACGTCATGTTGGCAATTTCATCGGATTAAAGACCACCATTTCGCTGCCACAGGTTCTCCTTCGGTACAGGCTTCTCCACGTGCCGATTCCGGCTCACCAGTGAGATCCTGTCCACGAGCCTAGCGAGGAGCAAATCAAGGTCCGCGCGCCTTGGGGCGCGCGAAATTACCTCCCCTGGATTAGCTGACGTGCTCCTCCGCAGCGACCGAAGCTGAGTTACCCAGTCCTCCCAGCAAGCTGCCACGCTGAGCCGAAAACGCGAGCGAAAATCAGGCAGAGGACGGAGGTAGAGGGAAGCGACGTGGAAGGGGTAAGGGGAGGGAAGGGAATAGCGCAACGGCATGAGAACAGAGGCAGTATAAATGGTGCATAATTTCGGAGGGGGATAGGGCAGTTATGCAAATGCTGCGGGGAGATGTATGCAAATTGGAGACACCATGTAACATGGTGAGGGAGACGGAAGCATAATCAGGTGCAGTGGAGGCAGACAGATGATTTTCATATGAGCCAGAGCTTCGTTGTGTTGTTTTTTGGTAATGAGTCGGTAATTTACGATCCTTAGGATCGGATCGCATCAAATATTCCAGATTCAATTCCGGCTAAAAGTCCCTTTAACGCACCATCTATGGCAAAAGTAGCATTCAGATAAGTCAGTCGTATTAGTCTCATTCCTCGTAAAAACCAAGAGAATGGAGATATAGTTAGATTAATATTTCGGCGACGTACCTTTATGAAAACAATAGCAAAAGTGCAATGGTATGAAACAATAGAACTTCTGCTATTGTTTCGATAAAGACATGTTGCCGAAATATCAACCCAGCCGTGCCTCCATTCTCCTATTTTTACGAAGCATAAGGCTAATACTACTGTCTTATCTTTGTGGATAATGTTCCTTCCTCGCTAATGCACTGAACAACTTACGTAAAAGTAGTATTTGACCGAACCATGTTTCGAATATTTGCAGTTATTCTGTTCTCACAATTGGAAGACCGCTGATAATAAAACATGAAAGTTAAATGCCCTTGCGGGCAGAAATGAGCAGTCAGCAATCATATCACGCCACTGGCACACTAACTGTTAGGTTAGTAGTTGGAAACAAAATAATGTTTATTGAATCTGTGACCATTCGTGATGACTTTTCCAACTATAGGTTTGCCCGAATCTTTCCCCAATTGCCCCAATACAACTGACCTGTATTTTGTGGATTTCTCTGTGAAGTTTGGAGATTTCATTGTCTTTCCTGGATACGGTTCTTCTTGCTTCACTGAGCTCCACCTCCAGTTGTGCGATCCTGCTATCCTTCTCCTTGATCTCCAGCTGGAACGAGAAAAACAGATGTCAGCAATGCGGAGGTCTTCCAAGCGTAGGTACTGCATGCGATAAGTCCTCATGGAGTGAGTCTTCCGCACAGATTCCGTTCCCACAGGACAACACGGTCATCAGTGAAATGACTTCTGTACGCATATGCCTGCGCAACACCGAATCTGCTCCAAATGCACCCTAAGTTGTTGATAGATATAATGTGAAACGCGCCACGTGACGGCATGATCTACAGCTTTAGCGGCGAACGAGCGGCATCCGCTTGCTTCACAGCGTGAAGGGGCAACGCTGTTGGTGCCTGCGGGCCAAAACGCATTGCAAATGCGGTAGAGCCCGTCAAACATCATCTGTATTCTACGACAGCACAGCCTCTCCACAATCGTAATGGCAGCTCACCAACACTGTGGACATGACTCTGCGGTCACAGACCAGCACGTAATCGCAGCCGAAACTCTTACAATTATCCGTGTATAGTTCGCCGCGCCTCCCCCTCCCTCCCAAAAAAACATGCACGGTCAGGACGGTGCCTAGCTCAAATAATCCACCGTTTTTTTAATCCAAATTTCCACCGTTGCAAGTTTTAAACCACGGCAGTGACGCCTTCTTCAGCAATGCATACAGTACGTTCTTTCAGCGTTTTTTCTACCTGCTTCTTGGTAATCATGCGTGCAAATGGTGAGTGTCCCGAAAACGGCGGTATTCAGTTGGTTCCAGCTCGAGCTCTTGTGACATGTTCAAAAGCCCGTCTCGCTCTGCTCTCCGTCCACGTCCGTTGTCTCTGTCGTCCGTCGTCTCCATCCATCGTCTCCCAACCCACGTTAGGGTTTTATCGTTGCAAACCGTGCGTGCTGCTCCCCTTTTCGCACGCGCTGCGGCCGCCACTGACGTCGGAGCGACGTGAAACTGCGCCGTGGAACGTCACAAAGCTTGTTCCCGCGGCGTGTAGAAGCACCACCGCCATCGGTGTAGCCGTCTGCGCAGTACATTTCGCTAATGAATTCGGACACACAGACACCCACACGCGAACGCTACTAATCCAGTTGTTTTGATACGTTGATTAAGGTTAAATGAGCTGGTTGTCGACACTGAAACGCTTTAGCCCGCCGGAACATATGCCTGGGAGAACGCCGCACGCAAACGCGAGTAACAAGGGACGAGCAGCATCCATCACACCTTACATGCATGAGAGATGATACTTTCGAGACAGCTCCTTGGCATTGTGATATACCCTGACATCATGCGGTCTCCTCGGACCATGCGCTGCATTTGCATCACATTTACGCTACATTTTGCGCCACGGCCGGGAGAGCAGATTTGATTAAAGAACATAGCTACCTATCTCGAGCGAAAAGGCTCCTGCCCAGACTGTGATCAATTGTACCGATATTAACGCCAGCACTGGAGTGTTCCATGACAATATTGGGCAGTAGGAAACGGAGAATGGGAAAGGGATGCCTGCTGGTAGGTGCGTGGCTGCGCGGAGGCGAACTGCCTCCCGATCACTCTGCATTGCTGAAAGATGTCCGGCATGATGCAGAATGAGGTCTCCGCTCTTTTCACCTTCTCTTTTTCACTTAATTCACCTTCATTTTTTATATATATATATATATATATATATATATATATATATATACTGCTGCTCTTCCTACCAGCACATGTAAAATATTCCTTTAAATGTGGTGCAGCTGTTGTGCTACACCAGATTAATTATAGAGGAGAGAAACAGACCCCGAAATCTTCAGTATAAAAACCTCCAGAACTTGTTTCCTTGCGACGCATTAGTCTATTGTCACGAGGTGCTGTATTTTTGCGGCACGGTGTCTCGGACGGCTGGGTAATGCAGTGCGCGACCATATTTAAGACCCCGTAAAGTTGCTCGATGTGATTTACGGTTACCCGTAAGTAAACGAAGTTAGACGTTCGCCGCTATGAATCGCGAGCAAGTTGGCGGAGTTGGCGGTCGCTCAGGTCCCCGATCCTTCATTAGCTACCAGAAAGTTCCCAGCGAGCAAATTAAAACCTGACCTAATGCTCTAGAATATTTCCGGCGCTTGTTTTTTCACCGTTTCTTCACGGAACTGAATTGTGCTGTTCCTTTCCGAACTACGTGCAGTAAATAGTTGTCTTCCCTTCGTGGCTCCGTGTTGGGTCCTACGGCAGACATATTTGGAAAAACGGCACTTTAAGGATCTGTGCTTAATGAGAAGCCAGTGCGTCATTCAAATTAATTTGGTGTCGTGTGGCTAAACTCACAGAAGCACGAAGTGACGTGCTTTGTTTTCCGTCCCACATATTTCTCCGATAAAGTTATGGAATCAGCTTGTCTGCCGTCGCGAAATGCTCTGTTCGCTATCCCACATTTGTTCACAAAACACCCTCACGCTTTTACACCTAAGTAAAATTAGGCTAGTGGCCTATAAGGTTTTCACTAGAGCAAGTTTGAATAAAAACTTCGTTCGCTGTAGCTTTCGCTATGTGAGTAACGCACTCCCGTGTTATCATTCCCTATATGCCTTAACTCCTCCTCCGAGTATCATTCTTCTCTCCATATTAGAAGCACGTTGAAGTCATCATAAACTTCTGATCCAAACCGTAGCTGTTCTCGCGGGAGAGCTGACCGGGTCAGGTAACTGAATAAAACAAATCTGCGCGTGAAACTAAAGTTCTCCGTGGATTTAACCCACTTACCCTCTTGCCATCCGGTGTTTGATGACAAAGTTTGGGACAGGGGTGGTAGAGAAGGGAGGCGGGGAGGGGGACGTAACTTTTCACAGATATTGTGACTTTTCACGGCTTATGGCCATTTCAATTCCAAGGTCATTTGAAGCCATCATTTCATTATTTGGCAATGCAATTAACGTTCAAGTGGTTCAGCAGGGATTCTTGCTTAACGCCTCACCGAAGTGAACGCAAAACACAGCAATGCAATCAGTTCGTAAAAGGAAGCATGATAAATAGCGTAATATGACCGTGACCCCGATCTCAGGCGTAAAAATGACCCCCGAGCATATCGTTCGAAACTGCAAGGCCTGCTTACGGTGTAAGTTATTTTTCTCTAGATCTATCCAGCATGAGATCGCAGGAGGATGAAGACCTGCCCCCCCCCCCCCGCATTGGGGTAGATGCTATCATGTCATGTCACGCTGCAGTAGACGGAGTGGTGTGACATCACGCCGTGTTAGACGACGTGGTGTGACGTCACGCTACACTAGACGGCGTGATGTCAAGCCCCGCAGCGGCACACGCTGTGGTGTGACGTCGCGCCGTGGCAGACGAGACGGTGTGACGTCACGCCCAAATTGCACCGTAGACAGATGCCGCGGCGTGACGTGACGCCGCGGCAGCCGGCGCGCTGTGACGGGGCGTCAAGGCCTGCGCCCATTAGGCTCCTGGGCGTGGTGCGACCGGCGCCCAGGCGCTAAGTGAACTTACGTATCGACCTTGCCGCGCGGGACCTGTGCGATCGAAGCTACATCCAGCCGCCTCGGCGCGAGCTGCGGCTTACTGGTCCCGGCGGCGCTGCAGCCGGACGGAACCGGGCCGGCTCCGGCTCCGGCCCGGCTCCGGCTCCGGATCCGCAGAGGCTCCGGTGGTGCGCGGGGAAGGCACACTCGAAATGAAACGCGTAGTTTTGTCGGGTGACGCGCGATCTAGGAGTCGCAGACGCTTTAGGTGATCGGGCGCATGAGAGAAGTTGCGTGAGAGGTAGCGACGAACTGTCAGGGTGACTGTGAGAGGTACCGACGAACTGTCAGGGTGTGACAGTGAGAGGTACCGACGAACTGTCAGGGTGACTGTGAGAGGTAGCGACGAACTGTCAGGGTGATTGTGAGAGGTAACGATTAACTGTCAGGGTGACTTTGAGAGGTACCGACGAACTGTCAGGGTGACTGTGAGAGGTACCGGCGAACTGTCAGGGTGACTGTGAGAGGTAGCGACGAACTGTCAGGGTGACTGTGAGAGGTACCGACGAACTGTCAGGGTGACTGTGAGAGGTACCGACGAACTGTCAGGGTGACTGTGAGAGGGAGCGACGGACTGTCAGGGTGACTGTGAGAGGTACCGACGAACTGTCAGGGTGACCGTGAGAGGTACCGACGAACTGTCAGGGTGACTGTGACAGGTAGCGACGAACTGTCAGGGTGACTGCGTGGGGTGGCAGAGTGTAGATTGCGTACGTGGGTTTAGATTTTGCATTGGAAAGCGAACCAGGCGGCCTCTGGGGACGAAATACCGCTTAGGTTTGCATAAGATACGCACATTGTTGTGCACACTTACGCACAGAAGCCCTACGCCCCGAATCCTTACGCCCAAATGCCCTACACCCAGATGCCCTGCACTCGGATGACCTACAATCGGATGGACTATGCTCAGGTCACCTGCGCTCGGACGACCTGGGCTCAGATCACCTACGCTTGGATGAATACGCTTAGATGACCTACGCTTGGATGACCTACGTTCAGAAGACCTACTGCCGAATGACCTACTTCGCGACCACCTTCTGGCGATGCCCATTTATCGAGTCGGTACTCAAGCACCAACGAATGTTGACACAACGGATGGCTAAAGCAGGATCGAGCTGTCTCAAGTGGGATGAACAGCTGATCTGGACTCCCGGGGATGTCGAAGACTGACACAGTACTTGAAAACAGGGTCAAAGTTCAGTCACTGACCACGCCCGGACCCCGGATCTATTTCCGGCCCCGCCCTCCCAAACATAGGCATTTGGCCGGACTCGAATTGGGAAAATCGGAGATCAACAGGAGACCAACCGGTAAGACCAAAAACAGCAGTAAGTCTTCTGAGCCTTTGGGTCTGCCGGGAGAAGGTACTTCGGGAGCACGTATTCATCGCTTCATCCGTCGCCCAGTGGGACACAGTTGTCTTGATAATGGAACAAGTTAATATCATCATTTTTCGGTGGTGCATGATAGTGTAGATTTTCCATGACATTTTCAGCCATGAATTATTTATCTCGCTCCCACTCGTAGCGTCTC